GATCGCGTCGTTCCGCCCTCTTTTGAGACATCTCAATGATCCTGCTCTTATTCGTGAGGCTGAAGATCTCCTTGTTGAATGGTGTGAGGTTCAAAAGGATCTTTTGATTTATGGGAAACATGGTGATGGTCCTGGACCTGTTGATGTTAATCGAAAGACTGGGTTGGCTTATTTACAAGGATGGGGTAATGTTTCTTTTGCATATTGCAACCAATGAAATTTTCAAAAAAAAAAACCGTTGTATTAAAGGACTCTGTTTCATGCCGTTCTTTTCGCATTATAGATACGTGGGACGACGTTTCCAAAATCCTCGGCAAGCTCACACAACCCGATTGTCTTTCCCTTCTTGAACTTAAGAATGGTGAGAAATGGTTCTCAATGTTGAAACAGAGGGTTTTCAGAAAGGAGAGTCCGGTTAAGGAATACAGGGGGAGTGTTGCTCCGTTACTTTTGGCTATAGATCAAAAGTTTACGCCGTTGGCTGATAGGACCGCGGAGTTTTCGAAAAAGGTTCCAGAGTATCTGAAGGATCTTTGGGATGATATTGCTGATTCTGGTAAGTGTAGTGTACTTTCGGTTTGTCTTTTTTGCCGAGGTAACATATTGTATTTTCCTTTTGTCGTTTTAAGCTCGAATGACCGCGTTGAGAGCAAAGCAAATTTACAACTTGTATGCGTTTGTTGATTCTCAATTGGATGATGACAAGAAGATTGGGAACTTGGCTTTTGCTAGGGCTGCTATGAGAGCTTTACATGATGGACAGGAGGTGGTTGCTAGACGCGAAAGGAGATAGTGAGTTTTATTTGGTTGACTTGATATGAATATCGGCTCATGAATTGCTAATATTGTTTCCTTTTCATTACATGACAACAGCCGCGCCCCTGCTGATCGTCTTGCTGGGTGGACTGGTTTGGACGGTAACAACCCCACTGCGTGTAAGTTTTCTTGTTCATTTTTCTTTGCGTTCTTGTCTCTTTGGCGTAAGTGTATGGTATCAATATTTATTTATATTTTTGGGCAGATGCTTTCAACTACCTTTGGACTGTTCGATCCCTTCATCTTTGGTGGCGAGACGCTGCAAAAGTCCTTTCAAGTGGTTGGAGCGTTACTTCACCGTATGTGTTTGTCAATTTTTAATTGTTTTTTCTTCACATGATTCCTTACAATCTCACCTTTCATTCGTCATATCTGATATGTCAATATAGATCCTTCTGTAACATTATCGACCCTGTCGAAGTTGGATTGGGTGAAGGTAAAATGCTTCAAGTTGCTGAAACTGTCACTGAGGTTTTGAGTGCTTTGGGAGTTGGTAAGAATTACTTTGATCTCGAGGAGAAGGAACCAAGGTACCCTGAGAGTATTAAAAACTGGAAACCAATTTTTTAGTTGTAAAACTTTTTTGTTTTTTCGTTGTAGGTATTAAATGACTTTTTCTTCGTTTGTTCCACTGTTTTTCTCGTAACTGAGACATTTTTCTCATTTCTCTATAGTTTGTTCTTATGTGGTTTTGGACTTTGCTTTTAAAACGCCTTGAGAACTTTTTGTTTGTCTTGTTAGTCTTTAACATTTGACCAAGTTTAGTTTGTTGCTATTTTGTGATTAGCTGTAGTTTTGAAAGCCCTTTTTTTGGTCCCCTGTTTTTCTCGAACTTTGTTTTTTCATTTCTTTTGGTCGCAACGATGATCTCCAACAGTCGTTTAGCCAAGGGTTGGTCTGTTTTCATAATAATAAAAATAAAGCAGTTTAACACAAGTTCTCTCGTTAAGTTGTGAGTGGGTATGCAGCCATTTTTGTTTGAATTGAAGTTGCGGCCAGGTATGATACCTCAGTCGTAAATCTTCAATAAAAATGCCAAAGTGTAAAAGTGCAACAAGAAAGTGGAAGCAAAACCAGAGAACCAGGAACTCGGTCTCAGAAGACTAAATAGGGAGTTGTAGATGCCAAATAGTACCCACGTTTTGAAAATCGAGCCCAAAATCACAAACTGTAGTCCTGGCAGAATTCGGCACCACATGTTTGTTTTTTTCACATTACATTGAACTAAAAATATATACAAGAGTTAAATGACTAGGTTGTAGAGTTATCCACGCGGTTTACTATGACAAAACACCAAAAGCTAACGACGAATAGGTTGAACGAGAGAGGACTTGATAAAGAACTCCACACCAACGGACAGTTTAACATTCACTCATTATAACAGGCCAACATTGTTCTTTTGCACATTCTCCCTTACAGGAAAAAGAATTTACACAAAGTGAAAGAAAATATACCAGAAATTCAGATTGACTCACAGAACACAAAAAACTCTGTTCTGACCTTACAACGCGTTGTATTTACTTGAAACTTCACATATTTGCTTCAACATCTGGAGAACACAATTATCAGATCGGATTGGTTGAAAAGAGTGGTTCACGGACTGCCGACGCGTGGCCATAAAACATAACAAAAAAAAAAGGGTCACCAAACAGAACGAAACAAAAAAAAAAAAACAAAAACAATTCCAAGAACGCCCGATGTGGGGGTCGAACCCACAACCTTAAGCTTAAAAGGCTTACGCTCTACCGATTGAGCTAACCGGGCACATCTTTCGCTTTTTCGACGCGTCATTTATGTTCCTAGGTAACGGCTGGTCATTAGTTTTCCATGGCTCCTCATTGCAATCATTCGTGTTATTTAGTCTTACTTTCAAGTTAAGCCAGAACGACCGAGAACATTGGGTTTCTATGTTCTCGTGTTTTTAGTATTGATATTTATGACAATATTTGTGCATTTATACTCTTTTTTTTTTTTTTTTTTTGTTTTGTTGGTTTAAAAAAAACATCTGGGATGTGCTGTTACTTTAGATATCCATGAAGGCATTAAGTCTCGCTCTGTCATCGAGCTGATTTTCACAGTGTTCTCCCGTCATCATATGTATTCGCATTGCACTGGAAATAACATTATTTTGGAATCGTGCTTTGTTTTGCCATTTTGGAAAGGTAGCTCGATTTAATCAAACTAACAACCTCTAAGAACTACGGAGTGGAACGGGTCCTCGCATTTTTGCATGTTGCTATTTAGAGTGCGAACAGGGCTTCTAAGTTCTGTGTATCAGTTTCTCGTGTTTTTCATGCTCTGTTGCATGATCGACTCATTTGTAGCGGTGTTTTCGTGAACGTTGGTCAAGTTCTGGGCCCCTTTCTTCAGTCACGGTCTGGAGTAGGTTACGAGTATTTGCTTTTCCTTGGCACTTTGTTTTCTTGTTCTTTGGAATACCGAATAACGTTGCATTGTGACGGGCTGGTGTTGTAAAACTAAGTTCTCTGTGTTTTTTGCCTTGGTAAGTGACTTTTTTTTTTTTCTAATATGTTTATGTTTATCGAGCCTGTTGCATTGTCGTTGTTGCCCGGTTAAGGAATGTTTTCTTTTTGCTTCCGTCTTCGAAGCTTAATGGCCCTCAAAACGATTCCCCGATTTGTTTGTCATTATGCTGGAAAAGCCATCACCATATGGTTTTCAGCTTTTCTGTGTTGTCTAGTCTATTATTCCATGGTTTTTTTTAGAATAACCCAGCCAATCTACTCTTCATCTTGTTGTTCAAGACACCTACCCAATACTCTTCATCTTGTTGTTTCAAGACACGTACCCAACTTTGTTCGCATTTGATTGCTGATATCACCTGAAGAGTATTTGTCAAATCGCCAAATCTACATTTTTTCATTTTCTGCTATCAACCTTCAATTGAACTGGAAGTGTTTAATACCTTCCTTTTTCCCTGGTGGGACGCGTCGCATGAGCTTAATACAGAAGGTCAACTATTTATTAAGCCATTCAAAAAACAACATATATTTCCGCAATAATAACACAAAGCCATACATTATAAACAGATCAACAACATGATACAATAATTTAAAACTATCAGACGCAGCAGAATAACGAGATTAATGCGGTTGCTCTTGCTCCACAAACTGTGTAGCATCATCACGGGTAATGCGTTGAATCTTGGACACCTTGTTTGTGAATGTAACTCCATAAAACTTGTCGGCATGAACGAGAAGTTCCGGTCGGAAGGTGGTGGTAATAAACTGAGCATCGTTCGCAAGTTCATGGACCATGTCTGAATATATTGCCAAAAATAGGAATCATCAGCAAACCACAACCATCAAAACTTGAAAAAATCGTAAACTTACTTGCAACAGCAGTACGATACTGTGCATCCAGCGCGGCATCAATCTCGTCAAAGAGGTAAAATGGCGCGGGATCGCATTTTTGAATTGCAAAGATCAAAGCAAGCGCCACCAAGGACTTCTGACCACCAGAAAGCTGATTCATTCGTTTCATACCCGCCTTTTCTTCTTCGCCATCCTCTTGCTCCTGGTCATCATCTTCTTCTTGGCCAGCATCGTCACCACTCTCGTCATCTTCATCCTCACCGTCAGGATTCCTGCTGCGTTTGGCACCTTTGCCGTGTCGACCGCCATGGAAAGATACAGAAATTCCAACGCCAGAGTATCGGTCAATCGCGCTGTTTTTGAGTCGCTGAGATGCGGGAACATCGATATCCATCTCGTCAACTTCTTCCGAAGCGGCTTCAGCAACGTCCTACAATTTTATTTCAACAAAAGGTTAAGACGTTGGCAAAGTAAGAGTACAATAATCAAACTCACTTTAGCCGCCTTGCTCAACATGATCAATTTTCCCCTCCCATGAGGAACCAACTTTTTCCAAACCTCCGCAAAGAAAAGAGCAACCTGCTTGAACGTGCGTTCAATCGCTTCATCCTTGCGTTGATCGAGAACCTTGATAAGCTCTTCAATAGCCTTATTACGAAGGAAAAAAATTGTTAAAAAACAAAACTAAACAGTAAGAACCCAAGTTCCAAAAAAACTTCATACCTGCGCACTGCTGTCGAGCTCGTCTTTCCTCTGATTCAAACTGTCTCGCTGCTTTGTAAAGTTGTTGTACTGCTCAAACGCCTTCTTGTTCACATGTCCGTACTTCTTCAAACCCTCATTAACTTTGTGCAAGCGTGCAAGAAGTTGCTTTGCGGTGGCCATGGCCCATTCCGAGTCTTCCTTCAACGCCTCTTCCGGTAAAACTCCAAGATCACGAATGTTCTTGGTGCACTCGTCCTTTTTCTCAATCAAAATCGCCTTCTTCTGCATGTACCGTTCGAGATGCCGTTGCTGCTTTTCCAAAGATCGGTTGTCCTCCACTTGTTCGGTCTGTTGAAAAGTAATGTCAGTCATGTTTACTTGCAAGAGGAAAAAAATATGTCACTCTTAAACCCACCCTCGTCTTTTCCAAAGTGGCAGTCTGCTCTCTCAAAGTCGCGCTCATATCATCAATCTCAGTGTCAAGAACTAAAACAACAGAATATCAATATTTTGAAAATGTGATGCCAAATAAAATGCTCACCTTTTAATCTCTTCTCGACATCATGAGATCGTTTCTCGAGAGCCTTCAATTCGGCTTTGCGCACCCCAAGCTGGGAATCAGCATCGGCGGCCTGCGACGCGTCACTCTCACCAGAACTCGACTCCAGTTTCTTGACGAGATTGTCCCGACGTTTCCGAAGATTGGCATCCAGTTCAATTGTCAAGATTTGTTTCCGGGTTTCCAACTATTAAGAAACTTGAGGTCAGATGATGACTCAAAGCTGCTGTTGAAAATAAAGAATCTAAACCTCACCTTGGCCCTCTTGCTTGACGCAGTCGTTAACTTTCCACTGATCTCTTCGAGTTCAGGTGTTATGGCATCGAGTCGTGCAAGTTCCTCCGTGGTAAGCGTCTTCAAGAACGCACTCGCAAGCTCACCTTCAAGAGCTCGTTGTTGACCGGCAAAAGTCTTTAAAGAAAGGGAAATCTTTGACAGTGATCCCTCCTGCAAAAATATATTATTACTTTCGCCAAAACAACGACATTCCAAACCGGTAATAACAGAAAGAAAACAAGAAGTTTAAAGATAGAAGACTCACCTTTTGAGTAATCATTTCGTTCAAGTCACTCTCCTCCCGCACCTTCTGTCTCTTCTTTTGCTGAAGGTCATCGCGTTCACGATCCGCACGAGATTTGGCGGTTTCGGCAGCATGGATCTTGTCACGGAGTTCTGTGATTTGTTGCTCAACCTTTGTTACAGATGCCTTGACTCGAGAAAGAGTTTCAGTCTCCTGCTTCATTCGCTCGTCCCACATCTTGAGACTCCTGATCGTTTCGAGACGCGATCGCCTGTGGTCAACGTAACCACCAGTGAGAGAACCTTTCTTGTCAGCGCGGTCACCTAACAATAACGGTATTATGTTAGCAATGTGTGTGATTCAAGCATTCAATGACTTACCATCAAGGGTAACTGCATTCAAACCATCTTGACGAGCATATTGGGCAGCGATTTCAAGAGAGGGGCAAATAATGGCTTTTCCGAAAACCTTTACAAAAATTTGCAAAACGCAAAAGCAAAAGTCAATTAAAACCCAAACTGCATCGCGTTGAATCATAGAAAACCAAAAAACCAACCTGCATGATAGCCTTCTGATGAATGTTATCGAACTGCAACTTCTTAACCATAGGTACAGCGTCGTTAGCGTTTGGGTAATCGACATCGCGAGGTCGAAGTCTATTCAACGGCATGAATGTTACTCGTCCAGCCCGGTCTCGGTTGAGCATGTCCAATAACCGTTGTGCAGTCTCATCAGTATCCACTACGACATGGAATAAACTGGACAAAACAATATTAAACATTTGAGACGAGAAGGAACAGCATTTGGTTGCATACCTTCCACCACCGACAACTTCAACGGCAGTCTGATATCGTTCATCAACTGAGAACAATTGATAAAGAGGTCCGTAAACGCCGCGCAGATTTTGGCGCTCCGTCATTTTCTGGATGGCTTGAATTCCAGATGAAGTATTCTAGAAGGATAACAAACATAAATCAACAAGAAACCATCACCAAAAAGGAAAAAAGAATAAAAAAACAAGATTCTTACTCTATCCATGCTGGACATAAGATTCCTCTCCGCTTTAACTCGCTCCTCATTCGCCGAATCGTACGCGATACATGCTCGTTGTTCTTCACGCCAAAGCTCCCTTCATTGTTTAAGTAGATAACAGACAAACAATTAATTAAAGAATCATAAAGGGAAAACTAGCTAAAAAACATCTCGATTGAAAAACAGAATGGAAGAAGAAAGAGAAGGAAGGGAACACGAAATGAGAATGAAAGAAGGAACGCAAAGAACAATCGCAACCAAAGAAACACAAAACCACCGGCAAAACTCACTTCTTTTGCTCATCCAAAGAATTCCGTTCAATCTTCAGTCGATCAAAGTCAGTCGAAGCCTTCTCCGATACCGTTTTCAACTCCTCAATCTTAACATCACAATGCTCAATTTCCTTCCGAACCGCATCCAATCGATTCCTGTTATTAACAATGTCCGTTTGAAGACCTTCCGCTTGTCGTTTTGACGAGTCGACAGTGGTTTGAAGTGATCCGATTTCCTGACGAAGGTAGCCATCCCGTTCGGCCTTTGTTCGGAATTGTTTGTTGCGACCTTGTTTCTCGAGAAGCGCATTCTTTTCCGTTTCCACAATTTGTTTACTAAA